GTTTCATAGTTTGATGAGTATGAAGAACTGGTGTCTGAGGCCTGACGCTGATATAAAGAAACAAGATTGGGGTCTGCTTCATCTGACAGTTTCCGAGGAGAAGGAGAAGGGGTGGTGGATGACGCGGGACTATTGACTCCATTGATCTGATCTACCAAGTTATTGTTACTACCTCTCCCATTTGTGGTGGCAGTTTCCTCAAAACGAATAGGGACATCAAAATTCATGGCAGGCCGGTACTTGGTCTGCACTCCACTCCATGTATGAAAAGGATACCCTGACCTGCTCTGATGCTCATATGCATTAACATAGAAGTGTTCCTCATCATCCTGATCAACAAAGGAGGGCTCGATAAAGGAATCCCTCACAGCTGCCAAATAAGCATCCCGCCTTTGACCGATAAAAGAATCCCGTTTTCGCGGCACACTGTCCTCATCACTGGTGTGACTTAGAGTAGGATGTATTGCAGTCGTATTTGAAATCCTGATATCAAATCCTGCTGCCACTGAGCCTAACATGGCAGCAATATTGACCAAGACCTGGTCTCTCTTTTTCCTAGTGAAAAAACGTTTCAAACTAGACGTTGAGGATGTTGGTGTTGCAGAGGTATTGATGGTAGAGTGTGGCATGGTGGAGGCAGTGATGGTGGTATCCATGCTGGAAGGGAAGTTGATAGACCGAGATTTTGTCTCCCCTAGAGTGTCTGGCCATTCATCATCTTCATAGTCTGCAAAAAAAGAGAGCAGATTACATTACATATTTTATACAATTCCAAGTAACCATTCACAATTCCATCTGCACAACATGAAACTGACCTATACAGCATTTTCTGTAAATGCCAAGCAATTTATTTCAAACACTTCACTTGGCAAAATCATTCATATTTTTTTTTTATTTTTTGCAATATTAATATACCACAGACCAGTATAGAAGACAGCGTCATTTAAGGCTGGTGTATAAAATTTGTTTTGCTTAGAAAAAAATCACTGTGCATTGGATAATGGTGATCTGTTGTACAAAAAAGAAAAAAAATGCCAACAGATTCACACACACAGCACACAGGAAACATAAAGCAGAGGTCCCTGAGCTAGCGACCAGTGAAGTTTGGTGTTCCCCATAATTTTTTTTTTTTTTTTTTTTTGCAAAAGCATAACCTGGTCACAGATGATAACAAGAATTTTTGAGAATTTTTTTCTCAAAGCACATACAGGTATGCCAAACAACATCAGACTGATAGAAAAACAGGAATCGAGTTTCACAAGTATCCTAACAGAGAAGAAATTCAATTACCTTCATTTTTTAAGTGTCTCATTCAAGTCTCATTCAAGACGTTCTGCGTTAGTTAGTTTATGTCAAGCTACAAGATCTTTCTGCGAGACTGGTGTTAGAAAGTCAATGAGAACTACACAGTAAAGTAAGTAGTACAATTCAACCAGAACAAGTTGTATTAGAAAGTGCAGAAAGCACACAGCTAGTATCAAAGTTGCACATGTTATAACACTACAAACAGCATCTACCATTCATCTATGCATTACATAGTCTACAGCCAAGCACATATGCTCATACTATCACTATAATATCTCTCTTGGAACAATGCATTTTGCATTATACATAAAACACACACACAGAGAGAGTCTAAATGCAGATATACTAACCAAGCTCCTGAAGAGCTCCTCCATACGAAAATGGACCAAGTTGACGTAGAGTCTTCTCCAGACTCGGGGCACTCTTAGACCACTGACCATTGGAGAATATCCAGGAGTGCCGATGATGCCGATCTCTTTGCACAGTGCTTGGTCCCCAAGTTTTACCTTTCACTCCATCTGCTGGGTCTAGACATGCATAAAACAGGCAAGGGGTAAATATCGAGCTTGTCATTAACTCTAACATGGGATGCTTTTGAGTTGACTGCGGGACAAAGTGACATTCAAGTGAAATGAAAGATGCAGTTGTTTTTTTACCACTCTTGTCAATTCAGGGAAGAGTTGGATTGTACTAAAACAATCCTGAAAAGTCTCAAGTTAACATAAAGTCCAATGAATCTGGCCATTTCTACTTGTATATCATTTTTCTTCCTGGTAAAAATGGTAGGATAAAAATGACCAGGAGTTTTTTCTAAATGATATTATACTGATAGACTAGTATGAAACATTGTGGAAATGAAATGACATGCAGGCATGCTTGATGTGTAATTTAGAACTGCAAAGATCATGCTGGGAGTTAATAAAATCATAGAGGAAAAATCCTGAAAGCTGAATTGGTAAGTGATGCTGCACACTCATGTCAAATGCACCGATTCAAAAAGATCTAATAATCAGCCCAAGAGCTACTCTCTTCATCATAAAGTGCTAAACCTCTGAACTAGTCTTTCATCAGACACCTGTCTAATACCTGTAACTCTCATGACAAATTTGAAACAAATTAAAAAGCCACAACCTCTCACACACCACCATGATTATTATTACTATTAGCTAGCATTTAAATTGCTATCCAACTATAAACTTCCACAATGAAATCTGAGGTGGGTTACTGATTTAAGTATGAGAGGTATCACTGATTAGTTGCTCACTAGTGATCAATTTTTTCCTGACATTCTGAATCATTTAATCAGTTGCTAATCAAGTGACTGGTGGAATTGATTAATGGAGAAAAATGAGTGCCTAGCTTTAGTACTTTTCTGATGATTTCCAAAATAATTTCTATAACGTGAGAATTGTATCACCGACATGCTTTTCTCTCAAATATAAAGCAACCACATTGAAATTTTTTTTATCTGTGAGATCCTGACCCCCTGACTGGACTTGACAACTTAAAGCCTCTAAATGCAGGGAAAAATAAATCTAAAAGCCGCTTTGATTCAAATAAACATCTTCTGGAGACAAAACATTTTAGGTTCAAGATTCATTTCCACTGCAAAATAGCACAATGATGCTTTCAATTTTGATTCGAAGCTTTGATTGTGATAACAATAAAAAAATGAAAGTCACAAAGGGACATTATTAAAATAAGCTAAAAATTCTGCCTTGGTGGCATTTGATAAAAGCAGGGTTGATTTGGGGAAAACAATGAATAGCAGATAACAAAAATTTATCCAAAATGGACATAAAACATTTACAAAAAGTAGGTCATAAAATAAAGCTGTGAAAATATAATTTTCTTGGCAAATCCTGCCAAGTATTACAGCCTACCTTAAGATTTATGCACTTGTAACGTGTATCGAACTAAAATCTGAATGATCTAAACACATTACTTACATTTTAAACAACCAAGAAAAATCATTATGCGAATGTGTAAATCCATGTTTGCTGACATATATATGTGCATGTTTTTTTTAGAAAGAGTGCACATGTGCTGAACCTGCTGTGTACTTACATGCTATTGCTCTTAACCTTGGTGGAAAGACCGGAGACTGCGGTGGGCTGTCTGGACTGGAGGGTTTTCTAGAGGGAGTTTCCTGCTGGACAGTGATATTGTGCCTGAAGTCTGCACAAACGGAAAATATATTATAAGTAGTTTCTTTTTGTTTGCATATTGCAGTACTTGACTTTTGACTAGATTTGGATTTCTGTATTGATTGAATTAGGAATTTATTACATGTAATTGTTATCCGTATCTACATTTTCATGACATAATTCTAGCATATAAACGTACAATAGTCAGAACAAACACATTAAAAGAACATATTTACTGACATTGGTACAATTTTATTGGTAAAAATATCAAGTCAATTTATCTGTTATCAAAACTAGAACCCTTAATATTATATATAAAAGGCATTGTATTCATTCTTTCTCTAAACATATTAAATATATTAACCACCATTTTTACTTTGGGAATTATTGTAAAACACATCCTTCTGATAAATGTTGGCAAAGAAATAACAACTCTTTTACAAGAAGATGTTTTACTCTTAGGTGTTTAGCAACAAAACTTTACCTGAGGGCTCACTAATCTGTCCGTGTTTTAATTGCTTGAGCCTCTTCTTGTTGAATTTCCCTTTTCTTTTCTTGGGTGTGGGTTTGCTCATCACTTGTTGCAGAATCATGACATTGAGTTCCCGTTCCAGCAGGTCAATCTCACGCTCTGCCAGCTCTTGCTCACGTTTCCTTAGAAACTCCTCCTGAAGTTTTTGTTGTAGTGCTGCTTTGGTGAGCTCTTCTTCTCTAGATCGAAGTTCCTGAGAAAAAAAAAGGTTTATATAACTATGTTCCTGGAACCACACACGCATAAATTTTTACAATCAATATTTTTTTTCTCTCTCCACGTCTCTCTTCTTAAAGAGCTAGTCTTTTTTTTTTTTTTATATTGATTTTGTTTAGAGTTACTTGCTCAATAATGTTTCTTTCTTACTCATAATTTCCTCAAACAATCTTTAAAGAAATCCAAATCTAGTCAGAAACAAGTACTGCAATATGCACTGGTCATGAGAGTTTATGAGGAACACACTGGGCACAATTACCTTTTCTTTTGATCTTAGTTCATCAAACATTTCCTGAATTTCTACTTTCCAGTCTTCCTGAAGTAAGTGGAAGGAGTCTTGAGGTTGGTCCAGCCAGTCTGAGTCCTGGATATCCACTAATTCTTCAAGGATATCTTGGAATGTTGGTCGAAAGTGAGGGTCCGGGTGCCAGCAGTCTGAAAAGTGCATTACTCACAGTTAAATTTTAATATGTGATTAGAGTTGACATTAAAATCTGCCCACTTCCCACTTTAACATTGTAAAAGACATTTTACCAATGTTCTTTATATAGGAATGTCCATAACAGGAAACTAAGCTGAAATCATCATTCGTCAATTAATAATTTTCAGTGTTATTCCATTCAATAAATATAAATTTACATAGAGAGAAAATGAGAAAGATGTGTATCTGACCAGACAGAGGACATACAGCGAGCAATCAGCAAGGTCTAATTTGTCTTTTAATAAATAAGATGATTACACTGAAAAAAAAGATAACAAAACCATCTATATCTTATCATTACCTTCTAGTAGCTTGCTAAAAGGCACAGGACATGTGGATGGAATTGGTAAAGTGAGTTTGTTCACAGCCACACCATAAGCCACTGCCAGAGTGTCTATTCCTTTGTAAGGCACCTCTCCTGTCAGAAGCTCCCATAGTAATACACCATAACTGAAAATGTAGAAAACACTTTTAGCATACGCTGATTTTTTGTCAATTTTTTGCTTTCGTAATGACTTCATGGACACATAATAATGATGACATTATGCCACCCATAGTTTTGCTCTAAAAGTGTTTAGATGGAAAACTTTTAAACGTATCCCACTTGTAAATTTACCCATCAATATTCTAAACAGCATTTAGGGTAAAATAAAAATAGCATCAGTATACAGTAAAAGTATGTAGCTTTATTAATAAAAGGTACAATACCCCCTCCCAACATGTCCCTACTCAAAACTGAACCAACCTTTACATGACCATGAAATAAGATATCAAATTTTCATTCCAGCCACTGACATAATAACAAAAACAAAGAATCAGGGCAAAAGACAATGCTTTTTGGTTAATTTCTTGATTTGTACAGAAACCAGTGGCACATGATAAAGTGACAGCTGAGTTTTTTTTTTTCTAATTTTCTTTTATTTATTATCTATTTTTGTTTGTTTTCTGTAATTATCATGCAAGTGTGTGGTATTGCCCCCCTAGACACTACTAAAATAGTTTTTAACTTGATGCCTCAGATTAGTTCTATTTTGCGTTCAGATGGCAAGAAGCCTTTGACTGGTTGACCTTTATAAAAGAAAGTTTGCTTTAAGAAAAGGGTTTAAGATGGCTTAAAGATATACAGTTTGCCACTTTTCTTCTGGCATTTTAACATGAACTTAAATGGCTCCAAAGTCCTGAATATCATGGCAGGTAAGGGGATCTTGTTAAGAAGAGGAAGGCTGCAGGAAAAATAGGTTTAAATGATTGTGACATGATTAGTTCTAGCATTTATAAAATGCATCGAGAAACAAATCACTTCTCAAATTTTTCTTAGCAAGTTCTAAACTTGTAGCATGACAAAGGGTCTGCTATTCAAATAGTTTTGTCTACAATACACATGCAAAAGGTACTAAACTGACACACAAGAGGTAAACCAAATAAGTGTCACTGTGTTTCTATCTATAGACATAGTGTTAGACAGCTTGGAGATATATGACCTCAAACAACATAAATAAATTTCAAAAAAAGGACAGCAACACTGGTCATCATTAATGTCCTTTTCGGTGTCAGTGACATCTAGTAGACAGCACCGGTGACATAATTTCCCTTCAAGCTGGACATAGATCCTAATCAGATATTAACATGACAATCCCTGGTGCCATGACCCATAATAAATTTCTCTTGCTGCTTAGAGCAGGTCACACTGTGTAGGCAGATAACAAAGATAGGGCCATTGTGGTGAACCATGTTCAGATGAATTTTACGCTGCCGCCAGATAGTCCATAGCTGTCTCAAAGGGTCATAAAATTGTCTAGGCACGCTTTTCACATGTATATGAAACAGTTAAAGGGTCATTATCAATAATACTCCATGCTGTACAATTTTTTCCCAATTCACCAGTTTTTCATAAGTTGACACAATTCATTATGTTGCAGCCTACCAGTTCTATGTTGGTAGCTGTTGCTTCTTTTTTCGTATTTACCATTTTTGTGAAATAACTGCTTGTACTTATTGACACAGACATTTTTTTCTGAGCTAATCAGTCTATGAAAAGATTTGTTATTTGCACATCTAACCAATACAATGAAGTCTGTGGTGAACAAAATGACAGTAACCTTTTTTTATATCAAATATGGTAGATGTATATTGCTTATCATTCAGCTTCAAGGTATGTAAGGTGGACCTAACCTAAAGGCAAGTTTATCCAGGCTAGTAGATCCATCAACCTGCTCCACTATTTACATTATGAATGCATTAAATCTTCTATATGATGAAACAGGGCCTGGAGAAGCCCGGACTTAGCGTGAAAACCACCATATAAATGAACATTTATGTTAAAACAAAGGTTAACACGTTGGGATAAAGTTATACATTTTCAGCCTGAAGCCCATACCTCAGCTGAAGAACATATCAAGGTCATATTTTCCACACGTTTCAATACAAACACACTCCAGGCTCACTTGCGGATACACATTTTTTTAACCATTTTTTTTCCTTTTCTTTCTTTCTTTCTTTCTTTTTTTTTTGCTGAATCGGCTCTAAATTTGTCAGAAAAAATCTTATATCAAGAATTTTCCTCAATCATAACAGAATGTGTTGTGCAAATTGGGTAAAAACCACTATGCAGGAGTGAGTCCAAACAGTTAGGGGCACAATAAATAAATGAGGGGGCAAGAGTGTCAGACTTTAGCAAGAGTGAAACCGAGTGTCGGACTTTACATAATAAAGTTTAATTACCTCCAAACATCACTAGCTTTTGAAAATGTGGATGACTTTATGACTTCAGGTGCCATCCAGGCATATGTCCCGGCAGCACTCATCCTAGTTGTCTTGTATACTTCCCTGGCTAACCCAAAGTCTGTTATAAGAAGTGTCTTCTTTTCCAAGTCATTATTTTCAATAGGCTCTTTGAGTAGAACTGAAATTATAAAAGATGAAATCATCAGTTAACCCCAATAACATTTTTTTCATAATTCATTCTATTTATATTAAATTGCACTGTTTCACAGTCAATGACCACATAAAGCATAAATATTACATGGACAATATTTACAGAAAACAGCAATTTCAAAGTACGATAATTTCTGAACCTATTCAAACACCCAGCTTTTTTCTAACATTTTACTTTTTCAAGATATACTATTTTCAGACAATGACAACTATGTCTTTTCTGACATGAGGTGAACTAACTTTTGAATCAATATTTTTTACAAATTGTTAACAATTTTTTATTGGGGGGGGAGGGAAGAATAATTATTGGTTTGAATTTATTGAGTAATTATTGCATGCTAAATGATCCTGATGGTTTGATATTAATATACATAATATTTCCTGAAAATGAAACATTGCAGAAGAAACTTGTGTATTTTCTGGACCAACACTAATTACTATCTAGTTCATATTAACTAATGTACCATGGCTTATTATTGCTTCCATCTAAGTATCATTTTGCCTTAAACATACTAAAACTTTAACTTCTTTAAAAGGGCATCTACTGCTTATTTACTACAAACATACAAATTGGACAATTCTATAAAGATTAAATGATTTCATATCTGGAAATTAATAACCCATAAACGATATAGTATGTGGTAGTTATGTTTCTTATTTCATTCCCCCCCCCCTTTTTTTTTAAAGATTTAAGGAACAAAAGTGAGCTATTAAAAGACAAGGAGGATCAACTGACTCAACAGCAGACACCTGTTTAGGCCTGACTTTAAAAGCTTCAAACTTTACATTCAACTTCATATATTTTATGTCTACTTCCTCAATCCACCCAACAATTCCCAATGCAACTGAGGGTCAACTGCTTGCATTCTAATCAACTTCCCTGTAGAAAACAATGATGACAACAGGCCTGAGGGGTGTTCCCCAACACTGCTGTGTGTTAATTTATTCAAAGCACCTGTGGTATTTCCTTGTACAGCATAAACAGCTGTTGACTGGACTTTTTATTATTTGTGATTGCTCAAGGTTGGAGGCTACTGATCATATATACCAAACGGTGTGCCTGTAGAAAAGATTTTTGTCATTTCTATGGTCAGAAACAAGGCCAAAATTTCAGTTGGTATAATCAATTCATCATGATCCTCAAATTGTATCATTATGAGAAATTTATCTAGTCATCAGATTTTTCAGAAATTCAGTATTATCAAATATATTATGCTTCGTATTTCCTTCAAAAGAATTCTTTGGTCAAGTTTTGTTTAATTAAAAAACAGACAGGCAGTAGCTAAGACAGATATTACGAATCTGAAATGCTCATGGTCAAATAATGGCTTATATATATTTATGTAAGTTCAATAACTTGCATTTTTGAAACAATTTCTTTAAACAAACCAGTCTCCACAATGAGAAGACAGGCAGGTTAAACGGAGAACAACATAACTCCCCAGTGCCAATCTCCCATCTTAAACCTTCTCCTTAAACCACCAATAATAATTAGTCTAAAAACATTTTAGTGAAAACAGAGTCAAATGCCGCCCGAGTCTAACCCAAGTAGCCACCGGAAGCAATCAGTCCTCCTTTACAAGACATCTTCAACCACTTCCTTCCTATGATATAAGCCATAAGATGGCATCAAGGTGATGGGTGTAGTATTCTCTATGGACCCTGTACAAAACACTGCCTGTTACTGACACTATCACATGATACCTGACAAGTGCACACCTGGCTTAATGTTGCTTTAAAATAATATTGACAGGAGAGGACGAGGGGGTTAAAGGGATAATAACTCTTCGTATGAGATCTATATTTCACAATAAAAACATTGTGAATAACTCATAGAAATATAATATATTCTGTTTTACCACAAAAACGGCAGTTATAGCTATTATTCTGATATCTGAGCTTGTCTTTAGACCACGTGACCTCCATTGATGGCTATACTTTGTTAAAATCTCTTAAGAGATTTTAACAAAAAACCAAACTTTTTAGAAAAAAACCAGGGACTAACTTTGAATGTAAAAATGGATTCATTAACCCTTGGTAAGTATGGGAAAATTGTTGTTTACTCCAGGAAAATTCATTTTTTGGCCGAAACGAAGAGTTATTATCACTTTAAGCTTTAATTGCTTCCATGCTTTTTTAAATGGTGGCAATCATTAACACAGAGAAAAATGATAGGGCTGATGCAGGCATCCTGCACCGTTTATGATGTACCTGAAACTTGAATATTTCTGGCTGATACAAAACAGTTGAATTACACCTTTGAGAAAATGTTTTACTATTCTTATGACAAGTTTACACAAATAAGCCATTCTGGATAGTAAATAAAACTTCTGCAAAGTTTAGCTATGTTCTGAGGCAAATTTTATTTTCTCATTGTCTGATAGCAATCAATATCAATATCTTTTATGATTATCCTGAAGGCAGCTCACGGTTGAATTATTCATTGAATCAACAGATAACATAGCCACTATTAGGAAAGAAGAAAGGCTTTAGGCTTACACTGTATCAATATTAAATGAAAGGGGGTCAACTAAGTTTGCAGACGTGCTATTTAACAAAAATGAACTATTAACTAAGGCAGAGTGCAGTAAAACAGGTTTTGGGTGTCTCACACACTGCACTGTATACATTCTCAGATGAAAAAATTTGATTCCAAGACACAACTATATGTACATACTGAAAAAATGAAATTCTAATTAATTAAAAATCTTGTTATCTGGCAAAGAAAAAAAAAAAAAAAAAAAAAAAAAAATCCCATCCCATGTTTTTTTTTCATCCTTATACACAAGACACTAATGTGATAACAAACAAATAAAAAACACTTTATCTGCATACCTGACATGCACACTCTCATGTAATACCGTCAACGAACCATATTACATATTTTAGTCTATTCAATTGGTATTTAGGTCAAACTAAAAACCATCATTAGCCTTGGGCTATAGTAAGAGGACTAATGTAGGAGATTATCCTTGATGGAGGAGATGGCATGAGGTGAGATGCACACAGATTACCCCCTATGAATGCACTTAGAGATGACCCCAACTTATTAATGGTGATTTTCTTAGAAATGGGGAATATGGATTTTATCTTTTCCGCAACCCTTCTTATCTATTTCTAATGCATAATATTCCAATCAAGCTTCGTGTCTGTCTATATTCTAGTATATAATAGTCCAGTGTATGAGGGGGGAGGGGCACTGCCAGCACTGCAAAGGGCAACAGAGGTAGATCTTTAGTGTTTTTTCCCTAATAAAATCAAACCTTTTATCTTAAAATGGCATTAATTCCAGATTCTAATTTTCTTGTCTAACTACCAAGGTTCCTGCTACCCAGCCCAGCCCCATCCCAATCTCCCAGATAACTCTGTAAGCCAGGTTTGTGACTTCACTTCACAGAGGCAGTTCAGGTACATCAACACTTCAAAGCCAGTATGTACGCAATAGGCAGGCCTCTATTGTCCTTCCCATCCCTTCTCTGTTCACCGAAACACCTCCCTTCTCAGTTCACCGAAACAGCTTAGTATAACATTTCACACTGAATCAGTAGAGAGGCGCAATATTCATCAATAACCAACCAACCAACCAACCACGACTATTTCTATCTTAGTCACATGCCTTGGTCACAATATCAGACAATTTAAGCAAAACCTGGAATGCGTGGAATGCAAAACAAAAAGAGATTGACAAAAGTGCTGGTTGTTGTTTTGTCATAATATAAAGGAAGGTAAAAAATGTTCGCAGTCTACACCTTGCAGTGCATTACTTCATGATCGGTCTCTATAATGTAGGCCTGATGTACTCCCAGGATCCTCAGGTTAAAAATGGATTTTGAAAGAAAACAAAATTGTGGATCTATATTTGTTACAGTAAAAAAACATTTCCTAATAAATAATTTGTTCATTATTATAATTAACAAGAGATAAAAACATCAAATGTCTATTTCAAGGACACAGCTCCAAACTCAAATGCGACATACAAAATACAATGTGCAAACAAAGGTGGCCCACACCAACGGATCAAAGTAATAAAAACAAAAACAATGGTGCAGTCATTAGTTGTTTATCTAAGAAGGATATTCCACCCTAATTGACCTAATCATTTTCAGTGGGAGGTAAGATAAAACTGAGCCATAATAACACTCAGCCGCTGCATAAATGGGTTACAGTTACTTCTATGTTAAATATAGCCGTTTTCACCTGCAACAGACTTACAAAACAGCCTAGCTTTTCTTCTTCCATGATTATATCTCAAGATATGTCCCATTTTAGAGCATTTTCTTTTAATTCGAGTGTTCTACTTTCGATATCAAGTTTCCACACTCAACAAAAACCCCATTCTCTTGTCTGTTTTTCTTATTTTTTCTACCTTTTATTTGCCCAAGTGGTGATTCCCCTTTGAATAATTTATTGAAACCAACTGCACAATTACCACATGGAAAGGTTTATAATATTTTCTTTACCTACCACATTTTACTAACTGGTCTTTACATTAACAAAGATTACTCGGGGTAAGCTTTGTTTGTTCAACCATTTACAAGACTTATGTGTCTTCTAACCCTCCAAGTGTAACCAAGCATCAATCTGTCTTTTCTTAATCTATGTGGTTCCATAAAACTTAAATATGATGGTTACCCTGAATAGGAATGCCTCTTACATTTGTCCCACTATGAGGTAAAAAATACTCATTCTTGGGTCATTTTTAGATACAGATCTAAAACATTTTTATACAGTAAATTGGGTGACATTTAAATAACAAGATAAAGCAAGTGATGTTTTTTCCTTTAAAACTGTACTATAAATTTATCTGCCTTACAAAAAATTTGAGGATATTTTCGATAGTTGTGAAAGTTAATACTTTTAATCTAGATCTCATCATCTCCTACTTTTGTAATACAAACTCCCAAGTGTATTTATAGATAACAGGTCAAATGGGATTGAATTGGTGAAAAGGTGTCTAACTTCTAGCTC